CCACAAGATTTACATAGGATACACACGTGAGGAGAGAAATGATTATTTGGCCTTCTTTTCTATAACATACCATAGGTGTTTATCTTTCCAAGAAACACTTCCCAATAAAGAGCTTGTACTTTAGGAGGGATTGGTTTGTAACATATTTCTTTCACAGTGAAATTCACCCCCATAGTTTCAAAATGGGTTGGCAGGTTAAAAAAAGAGGCACAAGAAACATACCATTAGGGGCTGGATGACAGATTCTATTATCAGATACATTTTGGTCCAAGTAAACCTTCTCCAGGTTTGAAGGTAGGAGGAGGGAACAACATTCATTATCTCTCAAACCCCTTATGAACTCTTACCGAAAAAAAAACCCTTATGAACCCAAATTCTCAACTTATCCCAAGTTCTGAGGACACATGAATCCTGGCAACAAGTTCAGCCTTAAGATTTGGCAAGGAATAGAAGTCAAGGAATTGCAAATTAAGGGGCTGATCCCCAAGCCAAAGGTCTTCTTAGAATAAAACTTTGGGAAAAGATTTTTGGTCTTTTTGGATGCAGGTGGACAATGCCTCTGTAAATCAGGTGGCTTTTCGACCCTACAACCTCAAGTAGCCTAAGAGAAGAGGGAGAGTATTATGGAGATGTGTTAGGGCTGCTTTAGTATGGACAGTATGGGAGGAAAGAAATAACATTATTTTCAATGATAAAGAGAGGGATGGAGCTACTGTTTGGGATTGTTTGCTGATTAGGGCTATTAATTGGGATAAAGCATTTGATTTTCTTTCACATTTCTCTTTTGGTGACATTTGGAGAAACTGGAAATTAGTTGCAATTTTTTATTTTTTAGTTAAGGACAAAGCTGTTGCAGCCTGGAAGCCCCCATAAAACTAAACTTTGATGGCAGTAGCCTCGGTAAGCTTTTGGGCCCTTTGGTATCAGATATGTATTCAGGAATGCAGAGGGTCATTGTTGCCTTATTCTCTGGTCCAATTGGAGTGGGGGATGTGGTTAGTGCAGAGGTCCAAGCAGTTTTACAGGGAACACAAATTGCTAAAGAGTTGAACTTCGGGAGGTTGGTCATTGAAGGAGATTCTAAATTGGTAATTGGGTGGCTGAAAGAGTTGGAGACTGTAGCTTGGTCTTTCAGGGGGTCGATGAGAAGATTCAAGTGGCTAACTTTCACTTTAATAGTTAGAGTTCAGTGGGAGAGGAGATCAGCTAATGGGCCAGCAGACCTACTAGCTGAGCAAGGGGTGCACAGAGATCATTTATTTTGGGTCCAATTGTAATTTTTCTTTGTTTTCGAGGCAGCATCTCACACCTCCTTAGGGAACTCTTTGCTGTATCTTTTGTTAGTTCATCTTGATTAATTTTAATAAAATGCTTTTTACTTATAAAAAAAAGGTAAGAAATGTAGTCAATACCTCAATGATTGCTTTCCAGGGGGAGTTTGAAGCTACATTAGAAGCTAGTTTTGCATCCCAACCATTGTCCATTACACCATGAATGCTTCCAATGACCCTGTGCCACAACCTATTTACCTCACAAGGAAACCTCCACGGCCATTTACCTAGAAGAGCTGTATTTCTCTTCACCAAATGCCCAATGCCTACTCCACCTTGCTCCTTCGGTTTACATACTTGTTCCAATAAGAAGTCCCTCATTATCTTTTCTAGCTGTCTAGCTGTTTTTACCAGAATCCTAAAGGTGGAAAGGAAGCAAGTGGGCAAGTTTGCTAGGGTGGACTTAATCAAAGTGATTCTTCTCCCCATAGAGATGTAGTGAATCTTTCTATGGGGAGAAGAATCACTTTGATTAAGTCCACCCTAGCAAACTTGCCCACTTGCTTTTTGGTGAATCTTTCTACAATTGGTTTCCAGAAGCTGTTGGTTTTCGGGCCCCCGAAGGCACACAAGGTACTCTAGGGGCCAAGTTTTCACCTCACAGCATAGTATTTCTCCCAAGGACTGAATGTCAGCCTCTTCCATGTTAATTCCTGCCACACAACTCTTTCTCCAATTGAATCAATAATCCATGTGACACCATGGTTGCCTAAGGCAATAGCATGATTAGTTGTAGCATGAGTACCAAAATAGGCAAAACCTATGGAAGGTCTGTAAGTACCATATGTGGTCCCTATTGTAGTTTCCAATTGACTTAGAAATTTACTGTACTTATCAGACTTTACTCTAGCTTCAACCAATGTCTCTACAGTCATTATAGAAGATGGCCCTTGATCATTTGCCTGAGTAGTGACCACATTATCTTTTCCATCCTTCTTCCTACTTTTATTATTTCTAAGCTAAGAAGGCATGAGATGGGGATTTAACTTCCAACATGTTTCTTGACTCAAGTTGCGTAGGTTTCTTTCAACATTCACACACTCCTCCACACCCTTATCACCAATCCCTGGAACCCCTTTGGGCTTCATGCTAAAATGAGCAGAATAATCTGTAGGAGTTTGTAGCATCACACATCTTCTACTCTCCTCATTGTGTACCAAATAATAGGCTTAGGAAACAGTGATGTCATCTTGTGTGAAGATATGCTGCCTGGTTATGACAAACTCTGAATTTAATCTTGTAAGAAACTCAAAGACTTGATTTCTCTCAACCAGTCTCCTATAGGTAGTAGCATGGGCTCTCCTACTCTATACTCTCCAAATGGTCCAACTCCTGCCAGTGAGACTTCAATGTTAAGAAGTAAACAACTAGTGGTTTTTCTCCTAGCTTTAGATTGTTCATCTGATACCTCAACTGGTATGCCCTTACGAAATTCATAGCTAGGTGTAAGCTTCTACTACACCATCATACACTTAACAATTTTTGTCTACATATAATTTTTGGTAATGTGCGGCTCCATAGAGTTTATCAACCACAAAAAAAAATAAAAAATCATATAGTTTTCCTGCACCCTTCGAGCATGGGAAGAGTCTATGGCTTTTTGGTTCTATCATTTCCCCATAATATACCCTAGATTTCAACTTCCCCTATGTAAATGTGAATAAATTGAGCACACTCAAGGTAATTACTCCCATCAAACTTCACTGTAATGATAGAAATTCTAGGAGTCTCTATAGACTCCATTGGGACAATCCTGGACTCTAGGATCTACTTGAAATCATTTCCTAAAGTGTGCTTCACATGCAATTCTTCTTCTACAATGATAGGATATACTCAGCAGGATTGTTATCTCACAAAATTTAATCCCCAATCTCAACTTCACAGTGAAACCCTAGATTGACAACATTGTAGCAGCTCTAGTACAAAGGAGAAAAGTGAAGTGCTCCTTGCAGATACTCTGGATGTCCTCAAAACAGGGAGTGATCTCAAAGGGGTTCAAAACGAAAGAAAATGAGTCTTGAGCACCAATTTCAATCAAGACTTTTAGCCTCCAACCAGTCTTCAAACAAGATCTTTGCTTTTTTCTTGATTTTTGGGCAGCTTCTCTAGAACTTCCTTTAGGCATCAAATCTCTCCACTATACTTTCTAAAAATCTTTCCCAAAACCAGATGATCAATGCTTAGACAGATCAGCAACTGCAAAACCCCATACACTGTTGATCCTAGTAATGTATGGTCTAGGGATTGAGAATAAAGAAGGAAACATGCTCTGATACCAACTTGGAAATCAGATTAGTAACATTCTTGATTATTTTGCAATGAATCAAGAAAGAAAAGAAGTGAAAAACAGATCTGAGTAGAGAAGAGAAGAGAAGAAAGAAGAAACATGTATTGGAAATCTGAAATCATGGGTTAGCAATTTGCTGTCCCACTGTGTTTTTTTGGCTTTAAGTATAACATAAAATTACATATATACTGTTAATAAGGGTAGAAGCAGCAATGAATAAATGAAATAAAAAGAGAGGCCCATGGCCCTATATGACAAGAAAGCCCAATAATAATAATAATAATAATAATAATAATAATAATAATAATAATAATAATAATAATAATAATAATAATAATAATAATATTTCAAAAAAAAAAACAGCCCACTATCTCAACTGGAATGTAGGGATTGTAAGGTGAGGGATGATTTGGTGGTGGTGTCGGAAATAGGGAGGAGGGCTTTTGTAATGTCTCAATGGTGACAGTTTTATTGGAAAAGGTGGAGAAAAGTGTATCCAGAGAGAATTCAAGGAAAGGAAGAGGCAAATCAAATGCTTCAATCCCCAAGGGCAGGGTGATCCATTGGTCAGTAGCCAGTGGATTGGGGAGGACAAGTCATTTTGTCAGTGGTTATTGTTTGGTGGTTGACTTGTGTCTAGGATTGGTTTTCAGTGGGGAAGTTTGAAGTTGGTGTCATGGAGTATAGTATCAGTTCAGGACCTTACTATACATTCACTTGGACACACTTCAGCACCTAGCTCAAGAAGTGAGACTTACCTTCACTTGGACTCAAAAGTCATCTAATTGAATGGCAGATGCATTGACTAAACTAGAGGCCAACAGGCCCCAATTGTATTGGGGTCATTTCTAGGGAGAATGGAAGAAATTTGCAAGGAAAATTTTAAGGACAGCAGTTTCTAACAGGGTAGGGATCAGGGATAGCCTTGGGATGCCTGGCATGATTCAATTGTACAATTAGAACATTTTTTTCATATATTGATAAAGAAATTGAGTTACCAACAATAAAAGGGAGGCAATGGTAGGATTTTTTTTTGCCCAGTTTCGAGGAGGCAGTTCTTTTTAGTTGGGTAGGCTTCCTTCACAGTGGTGTTTTTTGTGTGGTATGAAGATTTTATGCTGTGCCTTTCTCTTTTCAAGGAGGCAGTTCTTTCTGTTTATCTACGACATGGTGGCTTACTGTTGGAGTGTGTGGATTGGTTTTCTTTTTCTCTTTTTTTTTTTTTTTTTCCTTTTCAATCTCTCTTCTTTTCTACAGTCTTTTCTTGTTAGTGAATTTTTGTTATTAGAGAAAAAAGAGAAAGGAAAAGCATAGATACAAGATGCAACTGTGACCTATTTCTCTATGATTTTATTGTTGACTGATTTTCTTCTGCATATCAGATAATAATTCGTTTGGTTATGATATGGGTTGGTGGAAGGAGGAACATTTCAATGCCTCAGATGCTGATGGTGATGGTCTTCTGAATCGGACAGAATTCAATGAGTAAGGTTCTATTGGTGTAGATATTTTGTATTTGGCAATCGTATGCTTTCTCTGATTTCTTCTACTTGTTACCTTATGCTTGTTTTATGAAAGCTTCCTGCACCCAGCTGACAGCAATAGCCCGAAACTTCTTAAGTGGCTGTGTCAAGAGGAAATAAGGTACAATGGATTCTTATTTCTTTTTCAATTTAATGTGAATCTATTCACTTTCTCACAATCTTTATTCTATATTGTTCCTGGCACTGAATTTATTTCTGTATTTTACTCATATTCATGAATTTTTTACCTGCGAAAATTTCACATCTTTCATTTTATTTCATGGATGAGAGATTTTGAATAATATTATCATCAAAATGTATTTCCTGATGCAAGTGGTCATGGATCTCATGGTTGTCTACTTGGCTGTAAAAGCCATTCATCTTGAGGCAAGGTGGCAGAAACGGCTTTGAGATGTAGACCTCAAACATGAAACTATACTATAGGAATCAAGTAAAAAAACTCTATCTTGTTGCAATGAAGAAAAAGTTGATCAAAATCTTGTTTCCATAGATACTTGTTCATTGGAAAAAGGTTTCTGGATTAGGTCAAGTAGGGAGCTTACGTACATGATCCTGCATATTTCTGCCACGTTGAGGGATCCTGTGGCTGATCCAGAGTTTCCATCAGATAGAGGTCCTAGTGTATTTGCTATATATTTGATCCCGGTTCATTCAGCTTACTAACCCTGTATTGAATTATTCCTGACCAATTATAGCCATCCATTGATTCTTCTTTTTTGGTATAAAAATTGCCCTCATAAAAGGTGTATTATGTAGATATGGTCATTCGGCCCAAAAACTTTTCCATGAATGGTGGGGAGAGGATCATGGAGACCCTCTCAATTCTCAAGTTCCAAAATAATTTGCTACATAAGGGACCCTAGGTTGTTTAGAAAAGCTATGGGAGTGGCCCAATTAGAAAACCTATTGCCTTATTTATTGATAAATGGCAAAGTAGAATTGTTAAGTACAAGTATTTAAGGTATTATTTCCCTATCATTACAAAAAGGTTGATTGGATGAAAAGACCATCATTTCTTTACAATGAACCATGCCCTACTTTCAACTATATCTTATGTTTTATCCCCCCCAACACACACACACCACCCACCCCCCACCTCTACCACTACTGCCACCAACACAACACACACAATTTTGTAAATGTAACATAGTGATCTCCATGGAAAATGGTGACAGTTTGCATGTCCTAACTGACTGAGGACTGGTGCAGGAGCATGGACACTACAGCCTGTAGTACTGTAGTAGCATTTTCTGTTGTTATTTCTGTTTTCTGAGGGTCTTTTTGTTATTTGGATAGCTTAAATGTTTTGTTGTCTTTTGTTGTTAGTTTGTGGCTTGGGTTGAAAGTTTATGTGGCTTGCAAGGCAAGCTTCTTAGCTATTAGCATATGTAAAGAGAAGGGATCTACACATGGCTGGGTCGGTTTTGAATGGATCTACACGTGATCCACTTGGGGAGTGCGTGGACATAACAGAGGAAGAATTCCTGGGCCAGAGGGCCTAGGAATTTTAAATCCTTTAGAAACGAGTTGAGAAGTGAGCCCAGTTTTGAAGGTGGGTCAGTTCAAGAGGCTTATGAGGTTGCCCAGTTAGAAAAACATAAAACTCTTGTGCCAAGAAAAGAAGCGTTGGGAGAAACTACGAGCCCTGTAGATAGATCAAGGGTCCCAGAGGTTGAAGAGGATTTGATAGAGAAGGTGTCACAGAAGAAGGCACTTGCGATGCTGAAGGTTCGTTTGGAGAATGACAATTTTAGAATGACAATTTTCTTCCCCCCCCCCCCCCCCCCAAAAAAAAAAAAAAGAAAAAAAGCTCCAATGATGGTAGAGAAGGGGGAGACTCAAATGAATGGTCAAGTTCACCAACGGTGAGGGAGAAGAGTTGGAAAAGGAGATGATTGGGGAGGAAAAATGGCAGGGGCAGAAGAGGAGGGCGATAGAAGGATGATTGAGGTTTTACTATGAAGGGTAAAAAACTGAGTTGAAGAAGAAAGGAATTGTAGTCAAGAGGACAAAGTGACTGGGGTGATGGGCAGGGGCGGAGCCAAGTATATTGGTGAGGGGTCTTTGGCCCTCCCAAACTTTTTGTCAAAACTATCATATATATAGCTTAGTAAGTGGAGGCAGGGGCTAAGGAAATGGGAGATGCGGAAGAGCCAGTGGGGAAGGGAGAAGGAGAAAAGAACAAAGTTCTAACAGAGGAGAAAAGAGGGGGAGGAAGATCTAGGGATTGAGGGAGGGGGAAGAGAGGAGGAAGGAAGTAAGTTAGGAGATGGAGTTAGGACTTACAAAAGGAAGAAGTACAGAGAACTTTCCCCTTAGGAGAAAGTGGGAAAGGAGAGTCAGGGGAGGCTAATGAAGATGAACCAATGATGGATGAAATTCATGAGATTGAGGATGTGATTTAGAGAATGTGGTAAATAAGGAGATAAAAGTCAGCAAAATTTTGGGACTGTTTTTCCTAGGAGGGGAGGAGTTTGCAAAGGAAGCATTCAGATCAATGGAGGAACAAAATGGGGAAAGAGAGAGTAATGATAAACTAGTGTTTGAATGCAATTCTGGTAACCCTTTAATTCAAGAAAAGGAAGAGTGTGCTGAGGATGGTTGGTGGGGAGGTAGCCAAGAAGCAGGAAGTAATATCCAAGGGGGTGGTGGGTTCAGAAAAGGGGCAGAAGTCAGCAAGGAGCCTGGAAGAAGTTGTGGGAACTGTTAATACAGATAGAAGATTCAGAACTCAAAAGAATAGAAAAAGTCAAAAGTAGATTGCAGTTTCGAAGGCTTTTGCACGAATAAAAGGAGGCTTATTTGATATTGGGTCTAAAAGGCTTGTCAAAAAACCCATAAGATTAGAGAGAGGGCAACTAGAAGGGTCTCAAAAAGCTGAGAGAAGAGTTTGTAATTGGGAATCCTTTGTGGGGTAGGTGTTAGGGATGGGTCTGCAGTGTGTGTTTGGGTTGGGCTTTCATCTTGTCTTGTTTTTCAATGTTTTTTTTCTTTTGTGTGTGTGTGTATGGGTTTGTTGGGGTTTGGCTTTTTCAATGGGTTTTTATGGGTCTGTTGCTTTCTCTTGGGTGATTTCTTATCACCTTTCTTGTATTTTCTTTTTGTTTAATAAAATTTTTATTTTATCTTCAAAAAATAAACCTCTTTTTCCAGGCCTTCTCATCTCCTTTACATATTCACTGCAATTAGGATTTGGTCAATTATTTGTCGCCCTTGAATAAACGTCACTTGGGCTTGACTGATAATCAAGGGGAGAACTACTTTAATCCTCAAAGAGATCACTTTAGCCAAGATTTTGTAGATACTCACCAAACTAATCGGCTTGAAGTCTTTTGGGTGGTTAGCATTCGACTTCTTAGGGATTAGAGCCAAAAAAGTAGCATTAACTCTGCGGCTTACTATGTGTTCTTTTGCAAATTCCTTAAAGACATCACACAAATCATCTTTTGTTATTTCCCAACAATCTTGATAGAAAGCCATTGTGAAGTCATCAAGGTCTGAAGCCTTAGCTCTATCTCTTAAAAACATTGCTTGTTTGATTTCTTATTCCTCAAGATTCCTTTCTAATCACCTAGCTTTTTCCTCGGACACCCTTAGCCAATCCAACCCTTTCACCACCAATCTCTCATTCAAAGGTTTTCTGAAAATGGATTTGAAGTGGTCCACAAACTTCTTGACTATCTCATCTTGATTAGTAACCACCTCTTCTCCTAACTCTAATTTGGTCACAAAATTCCTCCTCCTATTTACTGAATCATGAAAAAATCTAGTATTCCCATCACCTTCCTTAATCCACTTGTGCCTTGACTTCTGCCTCTAGCTTATTTCCTCTCTCAAAAGCACCTCTTCTAAGTCCTTCCTCAGTTGTCTTCTCAATTCTCTAATTGATCTAAAATGGTCAACAAAGGCCTTAGCAATGTCACCTTGATCTGTGGTCTCGGTTCACTCCACCAATAATGAAGAGATTGGGCTCTTTCTTTTCCTACCATTTGCTAAAGCATGGAAGAATTTCATGTTTCCATCACCTTCTTTAATCCACTTCTCCCTAGACTTCTACTTCCAACCTATCTCCTCTCTCAAGAGAGTAGTAACCTCTAGCTCCTTTTTTAAAGATCATCTCCTTTCCCTATCTTGGTTTTCTAAGACACCTTGCACTTCCTATCTATCTCCTCAATTTGTGAGATTAAACTAACTTTTTTCTCTTCCACTCTCCCAAACTTCACTTTGTTCCATTCGTTAATTTCCCCTTTTGATCTTTGTAGCTTTTTCAAAAATTTTTGACCTTCCCACATAGGTTGTAAACTTTGGGACTCCCACCACTCTTTTACCTTATCTTTGAATTCCAAATGGGTAAGCCACACATTCTCAAATCTGAAAGGAGTGGGACCTCCATCCAAAGACCTCTGAAATAAACAAATTGGCCAATGATCTGATGTAATCCTGGGCAAAATATTTCCCCTCAAGCCCATCCAATGTTCTTCTCGATCAAGAGACATTAAAAACCTGTCTAGCCTAGAACAAATAGGATTAGCCTGAAGGTTGGACCAAGTACTCAGGAGGGATTTTGACCATTTAGAGAAATGAGGAAATGGAATGTGTGGAGGAATTGGTTGGTAGATATTCAGTCTCCTTAAAAATTAGAAGACTATCGGATGGGAGGGAATAGGTGGTAACAAATGTATATGGTCCGAACTCCTATAGAGATAGGGAGGATTTTTGGGAGGAATTATGTGCTATTAGGGGAATCTGGGAGGGACCATTGTGTGTGGGAGGTGATTTCAATGTCATCAGATTTTCGGGAGAAACAAACAATCCGAACAAAGGAATCACTACCAGCATGAGGAAGTTTAATAAATTAATTGATTCATGTGAATTGAGTGAACCTCCGATGCTAAGGGTGGACTATACTTGGTCAAATTTTCAATCCCCCCCAACCTGTTCCAAACTGGATAGGTTTCTCATTACTCCCGACTAGGAAGAATTGTGGGGCTCAATAGTAGTGAAAGGGCTACCTAGGGTTACTTCATACCATTGCCTCATTTACATTGAGAAGGAAAGTCTAGGAGGAAGCCCTACTCCATTCAGGTTTGAAAATATGTG